GGATCTGTGAAGCTAGCACGGCATTCTATCGATATCAAAAAAAGTACAACAGTTCCAGTAGCACTTTTCATAGTTCTACAGTTCTACCTAAAAATAATAAATAGTTCCGCACTTTTAATATGAAAAAAACAAGATTGAAAATATAGCGTGCTAACGTCGCGAATCTGGCACGTCAGTTTTCCTCTAAAGTACGAGAAAATGATAAATATTTGCACTTTTAGCAACAGTTCCCGACAGTTCTACTCAAAATCTACTAAGATACGCAGTTTCAAAACAAAATACCAAAATTTAATAATTTCTAAACATCTTATATATAGAAAATAGCATAACACTTGAAAAAAAAGTGTCGTGCTGCGTGCATATGGCAGTTTTAGCGACAGTTTTTGTTAATCTTAGCAGAGCTCTATGCATTACAATCATCTTTAAGCAGAGTTCCGGCCGCTAAGTATTTTTTTTTGAATTTTTTAACACCCGAGGCCAACACGACACTTGTAGAAAAAGTGACGTGCTGGACTCGGGTATTAAAAAATTCAAAAAAAAATACGTAGCGGCCGGAACTCTGCTTAAAAATGATTGTAATGCATAGAACTCTGCGAAAACTAACGAGAACTGCCGTTAAAACCGATATATATAGTCAGCACGTCACTTTTTCTACAAGTGACGTGCTGGACTCGGGGATTAAAAAATTCAAAAAAAATACGTAGCGGCCGGAACTCTGCTTAAAAATGATTGTAATGCATAGAACTCTGCGAAAACTAACGAGAACTGCCGTTAAAACCGATATATATAGTCAGCACGTCACTTTTTCTACAAGTGACGTGCTGGACTCGGGGATTAAAAAATTCAAAAAAAATACGTAGCGGCCGGAACTCTGCTTAAAAATGATTGTAATGCATAGAACTCTGCGAAAACTAACGAGAACTGCCGTTAAAACCGATATATATAGTCAGCACGTCACTTTTTCTACAAGTGACGTGCTGGACTCGGGGATTAAAAAATTCAAAAAAAATACGTAGCGGCCGGAACTCTGCTTAAAAATGATTGTAATGCATAGAACTCTGCGAAAACTAACGAGAACTGCCGTTAAAACCGATATATATAGTCAGCACGTCACTTTTTCTACAAGTGACGTGCTGGACTCGGGGATTAAAAAATTCAAAAAAAATACGTAGCGGCCGGAACTCTGCTTAAAAATGATTGTAATGCATAGAACTCTGCGAAAACTAACGAGAACTGCCGTTAAAACCGATATATATAGTCAGCACGTCACTTTTTCTACAAGTGACGTGCTGGACTCGGGGATTAAAAAATTCAAAAAAAATACGTAGCGGCCGGAACTCTGCTTAAAAATGATTGTAATGCATAGAACTCTGCGAAAACTAACGAGAACTGCCGTTAAAACCGATATATATAGTCAGCACGTCACTTTTTCTACAAGTGACGTGCTGGACTCGGGGATTAAAAAATTCAAAAAAAATACGTAGCGGCCGGAACTCTGCTTAAAAATGATTGTAATGCATAGAACTCTGCGAAAACTAACGAGAACTGCCGTTAAAACCGATATATATAGTCAGCACGTCACTTTTCTACAAGTGACGTGCTGGACTCGGGTATTAAAAAATTAAAAAAAAAATACGTAGCGGCCGGAACTCTGCTTAAAAATGATTGTGATGCATAGAACTCTGCGAAAATTAACGAGAACTGCCGTTAAAACCGATATATATAGTCAGCACGTCACTTTTTCTACAAGTGACGTGCTGGACTCGGGTAATAAAAAATTCAAAAAAAATACGTAGCGGCCGGAATTCTGCTTAAAAATGATTGTAATGCATAGAACTCTGCGAAAACTAACGAGAACTGCCGTTAAAACCGATATATATAGTCAGCACGTCACTTTTTCTACAAGTGACGTGCTGGACTCGGGTATTAAAAAATTAAAAAAAAAATACGTAGCGTCCGGAACTCTGCTTAAAAATGATTGTAATGCATAGAACTCTGCGAAAACTAACGAGAACTGCCGTTAAAACCGATATATATAGTCAGCACGTCACTTTTTCTACAAGTGACGTGCTGGAATGGGGTATTAAAAAATTCAAAAAAAATACGTAGCGGCCGGAACTCTGCTTACAAATGATTGTAATGCATAGAACTCTGCGAAAACTAACGAGACCTGCCATTAAAACCGATATATATAGTCAGCACGTCACTTTTTCTACAAGTGACGTGCTGGACTCGGGTATTAAAAAAATTCAAAAAAAATACGTAGCGGCCGGAACTCTGCTTAAAAATGATTGTAATGCATAGAACTCTGCGATAACTAATGAGAACTGCCGTTAAAACCGATATATATAGTCAGCACGTCACTTTTTCTACAAGTGACGTGCTGGACTCGGG